TACTGCATGTTATATAACATGATATTCACGTTTATATACAATATTAATAATTTATTTGTGTAATATAAACACAAATAACACCATGTTTTACTGCTTGCAGTGATGAGTCACTGAGCTTCAGTCCAGTTCTTGTGTAATTTGGCATACCTCACCTTTTTCCCCTGTTTCCATTACTTATGAATGGTTTCTCAACATCCACCATTTCAATGAGGAGTAGAATGGTGGATGCGAACAGTAGATGGATCAATGGAAGGACCAGATACATCTCTGAGATCTCGTGTCGAGTCTTTGCTGGATTTTCTCCTGTTTCTTAAGGACGTGACTTTCAGATACTGTTCAAGTTTTGTAGATGAAGTTTTAGGTTTTTGGTCTGTTGCTCCTTGTTTCTTACTCAACTTGTCCAGTTTTCTGAAATACTTTACGACACCCTACCAAGCATGCCGAGATATTCCAGGTTTTCGATTAATAGCTCTTTGGGAATCACCTTGTGGGTGCAAAACACTATTTTTATGCCTGTCAAAGTATGATTATTGGCATTGTTGCACTTTCAACAAAAGAAATGGGAACACATTGTGTTTTTGTAACAGGCTGCTAGTAACAAAATGCCTGAAGAGACTAAAATCAAAGCTGGTTCTTTGCTAAGTTGTTATGTGTGGACACGATGCCGGTTCATCCCTTGAGTTACGTCCTTTTTTTTATGCTTGAATGATTCATAGGTCAGTCTTATTGTGTGTCACGGCAAATAGCTTAAATGCAATACAGTTGTGGAGAAGCGACATATATAAAAATTCATCAAAGACGATAAAGCAGAATTAAAAATGTCTCAGTAAATGTAGCAACAAAGTAGTTCAGTATATCACAGTGGACAGTGCAACAAAGTGACAGCTTACACAGAAGCCACGGCCACAGCAGTTTTTATCCTCAGCTGGAGGGATGTATCAGACATTGCTGGTGTCTGAGCATCACCTAGGTCTTTAACACTGCTCTCCTCTGCCAGGGTCAGCTCATTGTGTCCACACCTCTCAGAATTGTTCCCTTTGTGTTACTGATTTTAAAGCACTGATATGCCAGTTGGTTCCTGGTCAGTGTTGACATTGGGCTTTGTTGTGTGTAACCTCTTTCATTGGGTCTGCTGTCATAGTAGGCCTTAGCCCGTTTTCTCAACAGACTCCCCAACGTCTGACTCCAACATCACTCTTTTATTGTTATCATTATTGTTTTTTATATGTTTTGACAGATACAACCAGTGCCTGCTTGAACCGAATACATCAATAATAATATGTTGCGTGTATGAATTAAGAGACTGAGTCGATTTGAGGGGAACTCACTCTACTTTAGAGGGAAGTTGCTGTTTTAAATACACCAAGAGTTGTCTAGCAGGCTGTGAAGTCATCTCCCTCTGTGTGCAGAAAAACACGCACCAATCAGGATATCTGCAGAGAGGCAACCATCACGCTGAGCTCCAGATAACCTGCTGTTCATCATCTCCTCAGTAGGCAAAAACAGTGGATGTGTCACTTTGAGAAATGTAATCAAAAACTGGAGAAACTTGCTGCAACACAGTCACGGATTAATGTTTCAAGTCATAATATATTTGATTGTCTTGCCACTTCACTGGTTACAATTCATGTCTGCAGTGAGCAATTGTCATTATCGTTATCAGTAATCACAATTTTTTTTTCTTTTTTTACTCCGAAAGATTAATTTAACACTTTTCAGCAGCTCCCAGCGTCACACTGGCGAAGCTGCATATATAAACCCGAGTGCACCTGAGCCCGAATAAACTGGATATATTTCATACTGACACACGAGAGCCACTTAGCAACATGTCAGCCTGCGAGTTTCAGTTTAAAGTGCACACCAGATCATTCACAGAAGAACACGCCACTGAATGATGTGTCTTTATTGACCAAATGAATCCACATCTTGGTCATATTCGTCGAGAGGTTTGTTGGATCAGACCGTCCCGCGCGTAAACCATCCAAACGGTCACGAGGACCACTTCACCTCCTCTTTTGGATTTGGTTACTGCAGGCCACAGCTGCTGCTGTTTAGGCAGTTTTGGGACTGTGGCTGCATCTGCTCATAAATAACACAGTCTCATAAAATTTAATGGAATGAGAATTAACTATGACACACGGATTAGGCTGTATGAATACTGCAAACATCATTTTCCTCTACTTTTTGAATGGATTCGCGACAAAAGCATTTTTCATCATTACCATTCATAATGATGCACATTGCAACTTTGGCTTAAAATATTTTTTTAAATGGCTGGAGGACAGAAATAATTCAGCTCAGTTTTATTTATACAGCACCAAATCACAACTGTCTAAGATAAAGACCCCGCAATATAAAACCACAACAATCAAATGACCAAGGACTTGGCGACAGTGGGAAGGAGAAACTCCATTTTAACAGGAAGATTCCTCCGACAGAACCAGGCTCAGGGAGGGGCGGCCATCTTTGTGAGCAGTTGGGAGTGATGTGAAGAAGCCAGGACAAAAGACCCACTGTGAAAGAGAGCCATAGATGAATAATAACTAATGATTAAATGCATGGTGTGATGCACTGAGTGAAGAACAAACACTCAGTGCATCATAGGAAGCTCCTGCAGCGTAACTAAGGGAGGGTTCGGGGTCACCTGATCCAGCCCTAACTACATGCTTTATCAAAAAGGAAAGTTTTGAGCCTGATTTTAAAAGTAGAGAGGGTGTCTGTCTCCCAAATAAAAAGCTGGAGCTGGTTCAACAGAAATACAACGACAAACCTGGAGGAAAGAGTCTTGATATATTGTAACTACTCACATCCCGTTAAAGTGTTTCTGGCATTTCAATTCAGAAAGTGTCCACAAACTGAATCTTCAGCTGAACCAGCTATTCTGAACCATTATTGTTATTGACCAACTCGGACTCGTTTTGCATTGGAGCCTTTTTGAAGAGCGTCCCAAACTGCCCTTGTCAGCTCAGCTGTAATGTACAGCGTAATACATTCCTGTTTAAAAAGCTATGTGAAAGACTGCAAAAGCCATAGAAATAATCATGTTGTGATAAATCAGTTACAGATGGGTGGCTGCTGAGCTATTAACCTAATAAACAATGCTTGGGCAGGCCTGCACTAAAGAGTGTGAAACTCTCGCAGCGGCAAACTGTATTTACTACCAAACAAAGTGCTGTAACATAAAAATTATGCTTGTTGTCATCGCCTCTACGCTAGAGCGTCCTCTGTTCACCTGTTGAATCCCAATTAAGTACTCAGTGGTGCTTTAGCCCCGGTTTGGTCTGCCAGCTTTAGAGGGAAATGTCAAACTCTTTGGCTTGCGGGACATTTGACTGCTCGTTCTCTGGCCAGGAAGCACATTTCCGTGGATTGGTACAATTTTACTGCACATATTTACAACATAGGATTTTGCAGAGACCAAGGACTTTGTATGCTGTGTGAGATGGCCCATAATTAAAAGCACTTTGCAAATGAGCTGGTGATAAATGTTCCAGTTAAACTGTGTTAAATGATGTCCAAGTCTTTTTCTGTAGACTT